CTTAACCAACTGAGCCACCCAGGCGCCCCTCCAGGCCCTTTTCTACAGAGCTGTAAGAATGTTTTTAAAGAGTTATTTCTTAAAAGCATAAATCATTTCCACCTTAAAAACTTTCAGTGACTCCCTCCCTGCATGAATCCCAAATCTTAGATCCTTGACTCTGCAGTTCCTGTCTTCTGCCTCCATCTCTGCCCACCACACACTGGCTCTGCCACGCAGGGCTTAGTCCCCATTTCATGGCATCTATCTGGGAGGTGCCCTCTAATCACAAACTTCTTATCTTCTTTTCTATTATTATTTTAAAAAGAAACTTGTATATACTTTAGGTATATAACACGATGATTTGATATACATGAACATGCTGAAATAATGACTCCAATCACATCCTTCTTTTTTTTTTAATATAGAAACGTAAAAGGTTGCTTAACCGATTTTAATAACATGACATAAAGCCCCTACACTTGATAGAATCGTTATGCAAAATACATAGATGAATACTGTCTTCTTTTAAAAATATAAAATAAATAAGCAAGACATGTGAAAATAGGCAAGTTTCATTAAATAAATGAAAATTTTAAAGAAACTTTTGCTTTCCATATCATTTGAAGAAGGGAAATTATCATTTTAAACAATATTCAAGTTTATTAAACAAATTAAAAAAAAAGTATTATAAAATGTTTAACTGTCATCAGCTTTGAGGTTTATGTTGCTCCCGAATTTTGCATATAACTGAACTTTCAGATCCGCTAACGCTCGCTGAATTGATTCCATTCTGGCTTCTAAGGCGTGGATTTCTTCTTGCAAATTTTTCTTTGCTTCTTCTAACATTTCCTGGGTTTCTTCTTGAGAATGGCTAATGAAAACATCACCAATTTGATAAGGTATCATTAAGCAATCATCATCTGCAAGCATGATGTCCTCACAAGCATCTTCTAAATTCTGGAGTTGTTTCTTTTTTACTTCTATTTCCTCCTTCAGCTCTGTAATTCTACTTGTATTCCATGCAAATTTGTTTATCTTTTGTTGATCTTCAAAAGTAACGTTGACATCTTCTGCAGCCGCCTTCTTCATGGTGGCCGCCATCTTGGGACTGGACCAATCACATCCTTCTCCTCATGGTTACCATTTCTCTCTTTCTTTCTTTTTTTTTTTTAATGTAGTGATAGCACCTGAAATCTACTCTCTTAGCAACTTTCCAGTATTTGATGCCATGTTAAATATTGTCATCATTCTATGCATTAGCTCTCTAGACTTATTCGTACTACTTAACTGCAACTTTGTACCCTTGACCACCATCTCCCCATTTCCCCCATCTCCCTGCCCCCTGGTAATGATTGCTCAGCTCTCTGCTCCCATGTATTCGACTTTTTTAAGTGTCTACATGTAAGTGAGATCATGCAGTTTATTTTCTGTCCATGTCTGGCTTATTTCACTTTGAGTAATATCCTTAGGTTCATCCATGTTGTTGCAAACAGCAAAATCTTTCTCAAGGCTGAATAATACTCCTTTATGCGTGTGTGTGTGTGTGTGTGTGTGTGTATATCCAGCACTTGTGAATGAATATGAATAAATAAATATTTATGAATAAATATATGTGTGTGTAAATACACCTATTTATACACGTTTGACACACACTCCTTACCTTCTTCCCTGCCTACTTGCTTTAAACCAACTTTATTCTCACTCTTTCCTCATTCATTCCCTCCTTCACTGGTCATTTATGATGTTGGCCTCCAGCATCTCAACTGCTGTCCATATTATTGCCCATCCTCTGTTGTAAGTTGCCTGTTTGCTCCCCTGGGACCCATTCGCCTTTAGTCAGGTCAGCATAGCATCACAAGCATCAGAGAAGTACACACCAGCTTTGACACAATCAGGATCAACTCAACTCTGCGTTTTCTGTGCTGCAGGGCTTCAGAAAGTAATAAAATTTATTATTTGTTTTTTAATGGGTTGATATTTGTCTATCACTATTTAATATGAAAATATTACAAGCTCGTTTATTTTCTACTCATAGTCTCCTATTATAGATTTCTAATAATGGATTTTCAAACAATTATAGGCATTTGGGGTTCATGTTTATTTGTAAGTGTTGGACGATTGCCTTTATTTTTGTTCTGATTTTGAAACATCTAATAATGTGCATTTTTGTTCTAATTTTGGTGGTAAAATATCTTGGGGTCCTGTGGACCTGAAATTTACATCTGTCAACCTTTAAAAAGATGTAATACTTAAAAAAAAAAAAAGTATTACTTTTTTTTTCTTCCTACATTAAGTTATACTGTCTATGTTGATAGGACATGATTGTATCTGAGCTTTGATGTGAAACACTCCCATGAGAGGCATCATTCTCAAAGGATTTGAAATTCAGCCTTTACTTGTTCATTAAAAAACAAAGAATTGGAGTGTAAACAAAAGCAAAGTCTATGACTTTGTTGGTTATTGAGGGAATCAGCTTGAGGAAGTATCCTGGTCGTGTGTGAACGTGACTGACTTTCTGGTTTTCTTCCCTGCCAGTCTCTTACTTACCTGATGGGAGTGCCCTGGAACCTGATTTCTACTTCTCCACCATCAGTTCCAGCTTCTCAGTTTCTCCTCTTTTTAATGGCATCACCTATAAGGAGTTCAATATTCCACTAGAAATGCTTCGAGAACTCTTAAACTTGGTAAGGAAAGCATTGGTGGTTAAACAGATCTCGTGTACTTCAATCAGTAAAATTGCTAGTGGTGTAAGCATGGCATTTTTTTTTTTTTAAAGATTTTATTTATTTATTTGACAGAGAGATACACAGCAAGAGAGGGAACACAAGCAGGGGTACCGGTAGAGGGAGAAGCAGGCTTCCCGCAGAGCAGGGAGCCTGATGCAGGGCTCGATCCCAGGACCCTGGGATCATGACCTGAGCCGAAGGTAGACTTTTAACCGACTGAGCCACCCAGGCGCCCCTGGAGTGCATTTCTATATAGTCAAAAAGAGTCCCAAAGTAATGAAAAGAGTAAAAAAAAAAACTTTGAAGTGATTGGGTTGTTTTAGTTGATTTATTTTGTACTAACACACCTAAGAAATGTTGAATACTTGCTTACAATACTTTCCAGGTTACCCAGTGACCTCTTGACTCTTGTCTCGTCCAGCTTTCCCCATAGCCCTGTGAGGTCGGCAGCAAAAGGCAGATGCAGCTCACTTTCCTGACTCTCTGTTGGGGATTCATTCATAGAAGGGAATTATCTAGATAGTTGAAATTATACCCAGATTTTAAGTGCCCAGATTTTTTTCATTTTAGTTTATTTTGTTGAAATGTTACTTAAATGTCTTTCATACTCTTCTCCTTTTTAAACAAAGAATACAATCATAACCTAAACTTTTTCTTAATGAGATTTTTTATTTTGAAAATCAGTTTGTATATGCTGCTATCCTCAGGTCCTGCCAAGGAGTGCCAGTTGCTTGTCAGTATGTTAAACGTTTCCGGCTAGCTATGCTTTTTGAGTTCTTGTATCTGTTTTTTAATTTTTAAAATCTCTTTCCTTAATCAAACTGTAAATTCTGTTGTATTTCTGCCATTAACGTTCTTCTCCATCCTTCTTTCTTAGTTTAGGTTCTTTATTTGTATATTAGAATTGTATATCATTATTTCAGAAGTTAGCAGGCTATAAGTTAAGGGCTTTTTTATAAATAACATTTATCAAAATGTCAATACTAAAGATGACAGTATAACTTTAATACACCAGATGGAGAAAGTCTTGCATTTCAAGTCTTCATATGTTATTCAGCATCATTTAACATTAGCAAAATGTCAGAAATTTACCTGGATTAGGAACACATTATATAAGACCAATCTTATTCTCTTCTTTGCCTGGGGTTTCCTCCAAGACTGGTGGTAGAGGGAAATAAGATAGATGGAGTCTAGTTTATCTTCATCAAGGCATTAGAGAAACACCCTCCTGACATCCTAGATCTAGAATATGGGCTGAAGGCCAACACAATCTGGAAGGTTTGTGGAGCTGTCCAAAGGACAACCGCAGAGGGTGCCAGCCCAGCAGAAGCCTCCCCTAGCCTACTCCCCTACCCCCTACCATTGAAGCAAAATGAGCCAGGGCCATAAACGAAGATTCAGAAAGCAAGTAGGTTTCATTCTGTAGATGACACAATACTGGGAATCAGAGACCAGTATGGTGAACTAAAGCTAATCCCCCAAGCTTTGGTGGCATCAATGACAGGCAAAAAATACCAATAGCATCAGTAGAGGTGTAAAAAAGATTCAAGTATTTTATGTGTCAGTAAGCTTACTGAGCCAGCAGAGTGAAGTGGCTGCTGAAAAGCTAACATCATGTACATGGAAGTCTAGACTATGTTTTGAGTGTGGTGATTACTCAGAGTGAGTCCTAACATCCCTGGAATATTAATGTATTTTCCTGAGCCCCACAATTTGAGACTGTTTCTGACACATGGGACTACTGTGAAATCAGAAGCAGGCACTCAGCATCATAAAGGATATATAAGCCTAAGGAATGGATTAACAGAAATATTTGCCATGAAAAGAGATTTGGGGACCTATACTTGTTTCTGGAATATGGGAAAAGGAGTGGCTCCAAGGGCCAGGGGCACAAGCCCCAGAGGACAATATCGGCCCAGAGTTAGGAGGCACTCTGGACCAACCCAGGGGGGCCAGTTTCTGTTCCTGGAAGGTCAGCTGATTGGCCACTCGGCAGAGCTGTCATTCGGGGATTTATGTATAAGATATGGGTATGGACACTTTAATGTGTAAAGCTCCTTCTAATTCTGAATGAATTTTGTGGTACTTACCTGATTTTGTTTATAAATTTGTCTTTTCTGTTTCCTTGGCTATTACAGATTTTAGAGGCGCTTTTGCAGGTTTTGCATGTCCTTTTGGGAATGTGCCAGGCCTTGGAGATTCAAGAAAAAGGTATGATTCTAGATCTGAGGCTTTTTTTTTTTTTTTCATAATGGCTTTGTGATTACTTTTTTCCTTTGCTTTTCCTGGTCTTCTTTTCTGTGCTTTACTATTTGTGTACCTGATGGATGAAACCCTCCTGAATTAGTTTGCCTTCATTGAGTGTTAGCTAAGAGGACACATGGGGCTCATGAGCACAGCTCTGCTACCTGAATACCAGGTGACCTTAGACAAGTCACTTCACCCTTCTTGGGCCTCAATTTCTTCATTTATAACATGCCCGACTGCCTCTAGCATAAGGCTACCAACATAATCCCGGGGGACGAAATATATTGTTTAAGTATAGTAAAGGTACCTGATAACAGGGCTTACCTGTGTTACTGATTTGGGTGTACCATGCATAGACTGAGACCTGCCAAAAAGAGCAGCTGTGTGTGACAGAGATGTAGTCTGAAGTTGTGCAGATCAGCCGCTGACCTGTTGATGTGACTTGTTCTGACCCGTCACATTTGCTAGGGGATGGGTTGTGAGATGTCAGCCAACGTTACAAGCTGGTGTAGCACAACTCTCTCCCAGGCAACTTTCTGATATCGGAACATTTTCACTTTGTCTTCTAGAATACCTTTGCAAATACGCGATCCCATGCCTGATAGGAATCTCACGAGCGTTTGGGCGTTACAGCAACACAGAAGAGTCTCTCCTTTCAAAACTGTTCCCCAAAGTCCCTCCTCATTCCCTCCGAGTCCCTGAGGAGCTTGAAGGTGTGCGGAGGCGATCCTTCAATGACTTCCGCTCCATCCTCCCCAGTAATCTGCTGACGGTGTGTCAGGAAGGCACCCTGAAGAGGAAGACCAGCAGCGTGTCCAGCATCTCTCAGGTGGGGCTGCACGCCTGGGAGGCAGGCAGAGAGGTCAGGTCTTATTAAGTGCTCACTCGAAGAAAATCCCACTGGCATGCTGGTCAAGGAACTTCACAAAACAGAAAAGGTTCTCACTGGAATTCTGTGTAATACAAGGGCTTGCTTTGGCCTTTTAAGATTTATAAGTGATTTTATCTCCTAGTCATGAAGTATTTATTTCCTAGCAGTTCGGTGCCAAGCTCTATTCTGAGTGGGAGACAGTTGGTGCCCTTAAGAAATATATAACTGACTCATGGAGACGAGCTAAAGACACTAAATGCTAAGAATAATTCATCTCAGTAATGAAGTATAAAATATATGGCTAAACACGAAGAATTTAGGGACATGGTATACAGTAGAGAACACTTAGGTAAGGTGGGCTTCAGGGAGGAGGTGAGGCGTGAACCAGGACTGGAGGTACAAATGTTGGGCTGGCAGAGAGAATCTTGTCTAAGGAGAAACTGACAGCGGTTTGACTGGCCTTTTCTAATCTGTAAGGCGGCTTTGTGTTTCAGGTCAGCCCTGAACGTGGGATGCCCCCTCCCAGCTCCCCTGGAGGATCTGCCTTTCACTGCTTTGAAGGTGGGCTTCACTTTTCTGACAGGAATATTGACCTGGTACTTGAAGAGCAGGTTCACTGTGACTTGTCTTGACATAAAAGATGCTAATAATAACACTCTGCTGTCATGCATTTAGAGAGTCAAGCTTTTAGAAAGCATTTACTTTCTATTTTTGTTTAAACTTCTTAAAATTTAATTTTAAAATATTTCAAATGTGGAGAAAAGTGCAGAAAATAATATACAGACCCCCCTTCGTGCTCCGTGGGAAGCCTGCTTCTCCCTCTCCCACTCCCCCTGCTTGTGTTCCCTCTCTCGCTGTCTCTCTCTCTGTCAAAAAATAAATAAAATCTTAAAAAAA